GAAAATCCAAAAATAGCAAATGGTAGTAATTCTATGGAAAGTCTTCAGAACACAACTTCAAAAACAATAATTATTTTAAAATTCAAACCAGAGATGGACGAGACGATGAACTCTTCCACTCTAAGTAAAGCTGAGTCTGAATTGCAGCCTACATCGAAAAATTCTGAAAATAAGCTAGGAGAATCTAAACATCAAGAGATATCGTCTACAGAAACATATAACCCACAAAAAGAGACACAAGATAGTTTATCTATGGAAAGCACAGAAATCACCAAAATTAATGCTGTTTTCGATGCTAATAAAGATTCGGGTGACGAAGGCGATCATACTAAATCGTTTGATGTTTCTACACAAGCTATCTATGGATCTACCGATTACTTATCAACTAAACGGGATAATATACCTGAAGCTGAAGAAGAACCAACGCAAAAAGCAACAACAGGTGTCCATAATTTGATTTACTCGTTCTTTGGCTTTGCTTAAAATCCGCCCTTAAGTTCATTACATGTAACTTAAAGTCGATTTAAAATCAATCTGGACCAATAGGTTAATTTACTCAAATTTTAAAATACTGCAATGAAATGCTTAATGCAATGATCGTTATATATTACCTATAGATTATCAGCTCAAGCATCAGTGGCTCGGTTCTCATCCCTTGACAGGAATAGAACTTTATCATTGCTTAAATCAGGCCAGTGCCCTTTTTGATTTCCAAGTCACTCTCTGGTGAAAGGGTTTCTAGTTGTCAACAAAGCAACCGAACGTGAGTGAATTGGTTAGACAATTGATAATGGATCCAACTGGTATTAAATTGGCACCGGGTCAACTTAATTCTTTTTTTGCTTAAATCCTATTTTTTTGAACACGAGCAATACATCGAAATAAATAAATATATGTAAGTTGAATTTAACAACAAGTAAGATTTATTTACATTATGCCAAAGTAATAAATTTACTGGAAAAAACACTTAATATGATATTATAGTTCGAACAACAACGACTACGAACGTAGTAACGAGCCAAGCAGACCAAATAGTCACATTAACACCGGTCACACTTGAAACGCCGAAACCCCTAACGTTGCTGTTACCTCATGTTAATGATTTCTTTCAAAGCAGTGCTAATGGAGGAAATATGTTTGCACCCGTTGATAGTATAATTGATGGTTTTGGGCCATTGATATTACCATTGCTTGGTTACGGACATAACGTTTGTTCATTTCTCATGCTCACTTCCCAAGTCTTCCCACTTTTTCTTTCTTAAATTTAATTAAACAATTGGATCTTTGCGATACATTAACAAGAGTTAAGAATTAGTTTATTGTAGGCAGCAAATCGCTATTATCCGTATTTGCAAAGGATACATGGTGTAAGAAATTATGGAGCTTATAAAGATGGTTAATTTAATTTGTTCCTTTTTAATTTTTTCTTTTTGTTTCTCTTCCATCCCAAATATTTATTCAGCAGGACAGTTTTTTCTTACTTTTTTAATAACTGCGGGGACAACATGGACTAACGTCAAGGCGTCATAGGTTCTTTAATGGAAGTCTATAGGAATCATGAATAGGAAATCGAGGTGGTGCTTAGTTTTACTTCTATTCCAAATGTCTCTCTGGTGAAGGATTTTGCCTTAAAAAACAGTGGAACCAGCCGAATCAGAAACTGTGAATGCTTCGAAAAAGAATGACTAGAAAATGTTTGCTATGTTTCTAAAAAATTTTTCATCCTAAAAATCATAAAGTTTGTTATATAATAAATAAAAAATTTCAAACCCTATTAAAAATCTGCTTAAAAGTTCACATAGATGAAAAATTAAAATATTTCAGATTATACGGAAGATCCAATGGCTAAATTAAGTGCAGCCATAGCTCGCCGATTATACAGTGGCTTGAAACATTTGGATGGTGCAAACGGTAATGTGCTTGAACGCAGTAGTTTTGTGCGACATATCGCTGGTGCACCTATATTGAACAGTATGCTTGCAGCTCACATTGATCATGCAAATACTGCGGATGATCAATCACTAGAACGATTTTCAAAAACGTTGAATTCGGTAGCATATGGTGCCAATACTGTGCGTGGCCCATATTTACAAAATGAACTTGTCAAAACATCGCGAAATGATGCCGATTCGTATAAAGTACCAACTCGTGATAAATATCGATCTAAAGCATTAAATGGAAAGATTCCGTATCGGCGATATGTACCAAGTCCGTCGCAGTTTCGAGCCAACTCCAAACAGTCACCGTTAACACAAAATCAACATTTCAGTCAATATCAAGCATCATTTCATGGCAATAATGGATTATCAACTGTTTCGTCAGTATTTGCTCAGGATCTAGTAGCGCAACTAGCTAGAGCTGTGCCACCGTACAATAGTAAATGGACAAATAGTAATGGAACAAATCGCAACTATCATTTTGAGACGACATTTAGTCCTGAAATACCTCAAAATTATAAGGAGATACAAGCGATGCTTCAGAACTATTACGTTAAAGCAACAAGTCCGCCTGAAGTGCCAGAAGACCGTTTCAAAAAAATGCCTGAAAACAATTATTATGAGACTAGTGAGCCACAGTACTCTCAAGTTTACCAAACTGGCAGAACACAGTCAACACCTTTTGCTATCCAAGGTCTCGCTATTCACTTATTTCACGCATATTAGTTAATTTTTCCTTTTTAAAAAAGCTAATAATAAAAAAGCCATATTTTTAAAATACATTAAAAAATTTTAGATTCTAAGAAAAGAACAGCAATTGATTCGTTGTTTGCTGAAGATTCTGGTCTAATGGTCGGCGCGGTGCCGGATTTCGGTGATTCTAAATTTATGCCTCCAGTTGGTATGGTCTCGCTCGTATCGAATGAAGATAATAAAAACGATGAAACTCATTCAAATCCTCCACTTGGCACTAACAAATTTGGTATGGGTCGTGCGCCTGAAAAAAGCTATGAGGAATTATTTGGACCAAATGGCGATAAAAATGATTTCTTCAAATACTATTTCAGGTGACAATAATTAATTAAACTATGGATGTAATTATTGTTGCTTGCTTAATTATTTCCATTTTATGAATAAATATTTTGTATATAATAAAATATTTGTTATGATTTATGTTATAATACATTTAAAATTGCAATAAATTCATGGAAAAATGCTTTGATAATTATTGTATCAACTTATCAGAAAATCTTTTTTACTTTTGATAAATTTTTTATTTGATAAAATGACGAATTCCAGTAAATCCGATCATTTAAAATCATTTTTTTTTCTTTGAATTTTTAACTATTTTTGTTTTAAAACATTGTTTTTTCTAGAGAATTGTGTTTGTTTCGCCTTTGGCCTTTTTACTTATTTTATTTGATTTTTTTTAATATTTTCTAGTCGTTTATTTATTTATCTCTTCACAAATAAATAAATAAAAATTGCATTTTGTGGTTTGATGAATCGCTCTATTCCAGATTTATTTATGTTTATTGTGCATATATGAATTTTACATAATTTCACCAGTGGACCAACAGAATTTGACGATCACCAAAGTTCAATCCTAAGAGCGTGAAATGGGTAAATGAAAATTTCAATATTGGCCACGCCCATTATCGATTTGTTTCCAAACTTTGGTCTGTGATGAGACATTCGAACTTATCGCGGGTTTAATTAATTACGAGGAATGCGGAATAGGCAATTTTGTAGGCGATTGGAGGGTGGGGGGGGGGGGGGGGGGGGGGGGAAATCCGCGACCTTAATTACAGGGCTCTTGGAAAATTTGATAATTGGAAAAATTGATAATTAATCTTTTCGTCTTTGATTCGGCTGAAGGCAAAAGTCGAAATGCGTCGTTTCGTTGTTTTATTCATTTTAAATTCTCGTTTATATTTTCATTATTGCTATTGTTATTTTTTCTATATTCCTTATTGCTGTTTTTAACCAAAACATTTTAATTAATTTCTTTTTCTATTAAACCGAATTTTTCATTTCATTTTAGCCATTTTTAATAGTACTTTAGGAATTGTTTTTATCAATTTTTTTGGGATTTTATTCGTATTTATTATAAATTTTTTGCGATTAATTATTTGTTTTGATTGATTAGTAATTTGGATTTTTAAATTTCGTTAATATTGTATGAATTTTTAATTTTAATTATTTTAGTTATTTTAATTATTTTAGATTTCTTTAATTTTATTGAAAAGAATTTTGCAGAAATTTATCTTAGAGCGCAACGCAATATATTATTTCCTGTAAGTCAAATAAACTAATTGAAGAAAAACAAAAATATTTTTTACATTCGATTTTAATCCGATATGTAGCACTGATTGCTTATGCATTGTAACTTAGACTTTGCATCAGCCGAAAAGCTTGAGAAGTATCTATTTATTTATTTTTAAAAAATTATTAACTAGGACAAGTACTTTGGCATAAATTTGAATGAAGCAAGGTCCAGTGATTTACGCTGAACCAACACAAGAACTAATTTCCTTATTTAAATTGTTAAGTATAAACTCGTTAACACGACGTTATACATATTCATATTCAGTGGATATTTTTAAAAGGAAACTAATATTTCTAGAATCATATGAATTTGGCTAATAGTAGATATGATAAGCACATTGCGCATACCGCCAAGTTTTGTTGTTTTCAAGTGATAGAAAATAATATGATTAGCGTTTCTGATTTGTGATTATGCTTTGGCTTTGCGGCTATTAATACGGTTACGAATTTTTGCCAGTGAATCAGACGAGGATAGAAGAGTATAATTCTTTAGCGCGACCTGATTTACTGCTGTTGGAAGAAGGGCCTGACGCTTGAGATTTAAAATATAAATTTAAGATACAAAATTCAGCGGCTATCGTTGAATTTAGTATAAAATTTTTAATATTAAAATTTTTTCGATTATTAATGGTAGCGTCGTAAAATAAATTCCTTTAAAATATAAATTTTTATCATCGTTCTTATTTTAGATTTTAATCAATATTTTAAAGAATTGGGGAAATTAATCGCAGAAAAATGAGTGAAGGGGATGCTGCAGAATTGAAAACGGAATATTTCAAATTCTGTAAAGCTTTCACCTCTCGAATGGTTCATTTTTTAGCATTCATTTTATCCTATTTCTTTGGTCTGTTAATTTAATTAATTATATTAAATAATTTAATTAATTTAATTAACAGACCAAATAATTAAAAAACTTAAATTTAAAAATTTAAAAAATTTAAATTTATTTAAAGATTCAAATATTGGTTCAGTCGAGAATGGGTGAACCTATAAATCAATCTTGTTTAGCAAAACCGGATAGTTCAGATTGGTTCAATATACGTATAGATGAATATGGTGAGATCGCTGCTTATTTGCGTGCAAATATTTTAAAGTATTTTTTGCTAAAACTTATTTTTTTCTTATCATTATGATTTTATTTTTTATTTCTTGTGTCTTTGTCAATAATTCGACTGAAAGGTGATAATAACAATAATGATTTTTAATAATAATAATTTATAATAATAATTTATAATTTTCAATTAATATTTCTGTATAATAATTTTTATTTGAAATAAAAAAGAAATTAAAATTAAAGGATTATAATTATTTGGTTGAATATCTTTTCTTGTCTGTTATAGGTATCCTCCATTGATACCAGCGTTTACTCTTGATTTTTTACTCTATACTGCTGAAAAAAATATATTGCCACTGGAATCATGGTGATTGTTTGAAAATTTCTTAATATAATTATGTTTAATGCATTTTTTCTAATGGTTTTTTTTACAGTTATGAGTATAATGTTTCTTTTATTTTCATACTTTTAAATTCATAAGCTTGAATTTTATTCAGCTTAGTCTTTATCGATAATTTTTAGGTGCATTCGCTTCGATGACAGTAATGTTGATCCATTGACCAAAAATGCTCGTACCATCAATAATACACAGCTATACCATCAGCTGGGTACTCTTCTTAAATCGATTGTTATCGCTGCAAGAATAACCCCTTTATTTCGATATTATGTAAGAAAACAGTGTTCGGAAACATTCGTTATTTTATACCGAGTAAGTTTGTTTTATATCCAGTTTATAATATTTTCATTATTTTTTAAATTTTTCTATTTTTTACTTTTTATAATAATTTTTAATTATTACGCCTTTATAATAATGATAATTTTTATTTAAAGTAAATTAAAATAGAAATTAAAATTAAAGATTCATGAGAGTGAACCAGATTTGGACCTTGGTCAAGATCGAACAGAGCTTTGCATTGGATGTTACCCATCCCCTTATGGTCAACTATCTGTGGACCTTTTATTCCGAACACGAATGGAAATAATTCCGTATGTTTTATTAATTTTGCCAGCATTTTTAATCTGTAATAATAATAATATATTAAAGCTCATTGTCTGGTTGTTATAGGCCTGAAGATAACAGTGATGAGCAGATATCATCAATTGTTCCTCCCCCACAAACCGATGCTCCAGAATCACCGTTGTCAATACCATTCGGAGCGGTGCCTTCGGCTCAAGGAGTTTTGATAGCGACAACTCCTGTGTCCGACATCATAAGCAATTTTAGTGCAAGTCCAGCAAGCCAGGTTAAAATTACGTGAAAACCTTTATGTTTAATAGCGTTTTAATCATTGATTAAATCTGAGCTATATGGTCAATTTGAAAGGCAGTCTTTATTTTGGAAAATTTCTCTGGAAAAAATATTAGAAAATATTTAAAAATTGTTAATAATTGTTAAACTCATTTTTATTTTCAATTCAATAGTTGCATAAACCGATCACATAAAATTTTTTTCAGTTAGATTGCTTCTTGGGTAGTACACCTCCTAAGCGAATTAATTTCAAAGTTGGACGTTCCGTTTCATCCTCTGATGATTCATCTCAATTTAATGCTTGTGACAGTAAATCATATGACGAGCAAGTCTTCGGTAATCTTTCCATTTATCAATTTATTCTCATTTAAGCTGAATTTTAAATTCACTTGAAATTGCATATAATTTTAAGGATTTTTCTAAAATACAAGGTAAATAAATGAAACATTCCTTTGCAGAACTGGAGGGATGTAGTAGTTCGAATGACAACTCTTTGGATCAGTTATGCTTATTACCTATGCGAATGGTGAATCGGAAATTTATATGATTTTTCAAAAAATTATTTGAATTGTTTTTTGAAAATTATTTTCATTTTTTCTTTATTGGTTAAGATTTGTTTGGTTTTTGTTTTTATTTTCTTTTATTAAATCATTTTCAGAATCACCGGAAACAAAATAATTCTTTCCCATTTGCGGCTTTATTGGATTCAACTAATCTTCCAAAATTAAACAATCCTCTACCAAAGTTAAGTGAAGAAAATGGAACTGTGTCACCTCCATCTTCAGGTTATTCTAAAAGTACAAAGTACCATTACCGTCATATTATTTCTTTACACCCCCACTGTCATTGTCGCTCTAAAATTTATCAATTTTGATTTAGTTGATATTTGAGTGTAGGTGTTCCTAACACCACCCGAATTGACTCTTATTCAAGTTACTGTAGCAGGTTTTTTAAAATTAAACTAAGCATTGGAGTTTTCATATTCAAACGTTGAATGTTAGAAAATATTAGAGAATTTTATATGAACAGTTATTTCTATTATTGTTATTCTATGCAAACAAATAATTTTTTTTGAGTAAATAAATCATGCTTATTAGTTAATCAGTTTCACTTTCGAGTTCAGTGGGTTATCGCTCTCATTTCGGTGATTGCATAAACCAATCATAAAAATTTTTTTAATTAGACTGTTCACCTGTACTTCCATCACCTTGTGATCCTTTGGAAAAACTTGTCTGGTCCAGCAAGCCAATGGAACGGGCTTAACGAGAAATAGCGTCTTAGTGAGTGTAGTAAGCGTCTTTAGAAAAAAAATTAATTTTATTTTTGTTTATAAAATAAGTGCAAAGTGCTTTGCACTTTGTTTTTTTTTTTCTATATGTTAAATACCAAAACTATAAATAGTAGAACGGGAAATAGTAGTATAATTTTATCTAGGGATAAATTTTATTTTAAAAATTTTATTTTATTTTTATTTATTTCGTGCTACAATAATTTCGTTCTAAATATTTAATTCTGTTTTAAAAAAATACTCGTGAAAACTCCTTAGCATTTAATTTCATGATGAATTTTAAAAGTATTTTCAATCAACAATCATTTCTTTGGAGGAAAATATGTATTCATGTTTTATAAGATAATCCATATTGGTGGTTTTTTTAAAGTTTTACCCCTTTATCGCCTATTATTGAATTTTCAACGTCTTTTCATATTGGATTTTATATATATTGGATTCGAAGTAATTATCAAAAGACTAATAAAATTAAAATGACAAATGTTGAAATGTTTAATTCTCTAACGATGAGACTACACTAAACTAACCAACTTTTTTTTAAAAAAATCATTTCGAAAATTGACAATAAGTCGCACTCAAAAACTTTAGGTGAGATTTGACTATTTACAAATTGTCCATTGAAACTGCTTAGTGTTTTTAGGGTTTTAAGGATAAAAGCTTAAGGAGGCTTAATAGAATTATCGTTTAAAATGACTAACTATTTGACTGCCTTTGTAACGATTTTTTTGAAGTTGGAATGGCATATAACACATGAATTTGCCAACATTTTTAGTAATTTTTAGTAATTTTCGTTCATTTGATTTAAGAGGCAAAATTCACATTTAAAATCACATTTAAAATAAAGCGTATTGTATACTGTACACGAAAGAAAAAACTATAAATTAATTGGATTAGGACTGTGTTATTTCATTTTTTTTTTGTTCCTTTTGAATTTTTGAATTTCACTTGGATTATTTCTTCTTTAAATATAAATTAAAAGTATAAGGTCAGAGTTTTCAATTTAAGGTTTAGTGATTGTATTTGAACAAAAAAGTGGAATTTTTTTTATGTTTTTAATTTCCGTATTGTAATTATTTCCGTATTGTAATCCTTGTGTTAAGTAATGTAATTAACTTTTCATTTATTATAATTTTTGTGAATCTGCAAATGGCCCAATTTTTTTGACTTTTTAAATTTTCAGTTGAGACCGCGTGCTGAATGGAAAATAATATTTTATGGTTTTATTACTTCATTTAAAGTCATATTAGAAAAATTCATAATGAAATTATTTTCAGGCGCATGTAAGAATTTATCTCGGTCGATCTCTTCAGATCCTGACAAAAGCATCTATTGCTCCGCCGTCTCTCATTTTCCTGATTCTGCACAAACACACCACAGAGTCTCGCCTGTTTTAAATAGCGATCGCGAAGATGAAGAAGTTAAAGATGATGACGATTCATCTAGTAGCACTAGTAGTTATGTCATGGTCAATATTTTTTTATAATTTGCGTGTTTTTCCTGACAATTTCAGAACAAGAATGAAGTGTTGGAAAGAAATTCTTGATTTAAGTTCGAAATTATTTCTCTTTTAAAAATTGGTATAATTGTCTTCTGAGGTGTAATTTCGAATTTCAGGTTGCTTTTGGCAGTGGCGATAATTTAGATGATGATTTAACGGAATTTATGCATCACTGTCGTTTACCACCACCTCAGTTAGCGTTTCCTCATGAAGATACATCCGCAATACCAGAAATGGTAATTTAATCAAATTTAATGATTTTTATAGAGTTGGCATTATTTTCCGGTAAGGAACTTTCAAAATTTTTTATTCATTTTCATTGCATAGAATAAATTCTACACTAATGCCAATACCATTTTTATGTTTGATAAATTTTTTAAATTGTTTTTTAAGTTATTGATTGTAACTAGATTATATGCATTATTTTACTCCAAGCTTTGTGTAATCATTTTTACTTTTTTAGCTCGCTGAATTCGAGAAAGATAAGGAAAAATTTAATGAATTTGTTGCTCAAGTTAAGCAGAAAGCCGATTTGTCAAAATCAGAATGAAAAAGCTTCCTTAACCTTTGTAACAATATAACAGTGTTTTTATTTCATTCCTACCGGTATCATCTTTTATTTCAGTTTATTTAGTTCAGCGAGTAGAACTTTTTTTTATAAACCTTATTTATTCAATTTATGGATAATTGTATCTTTATTTTGTAGTTTCGTTATCGTTGTAAATTATTTTATATAGTTTACTGACTTTTCTGTTTCTTTTATACTTAATAATTTATTAAAAAGATGATCTACGTTTTATTTTTAAGAAAGTCCTAAATATTTCTTTATGGTCGAATTCGCCAAGATTATCATTTAAGACGTCATGGTTTGTTTTCCGCTGCTGGCAGGAAACCTGTCGTTAGGAAATCCGCGTGCTGCTGAGGGCTTTTCTCGAGTCATGCAGTCTTTAAATGTCCTTTTGAAAAATCACATCCTATCAGTTAGTCAGATATGGTTTGTACTAATAATTTATTTTATTTAATAAGGGAGTTGGAGGCTATTTATAAACTTCGAAAATTTATTTAAAATTCAAGCTAAGTCGTAGACTTTTATTTTTATTACTTTTATTTTTTACTTTATCCTTCACGTTTATCTCCACTTTTTCTTTTTTTTGTTTTGAATTGTTTTTATTTCTAATATTCAGTCTTCATCAATCCCATATGCTGTATTTCCTTTTCGTATTTAATGAAATACTGAAGGATGCAAAAGGCGGTAGCCATGGTAGGGTGATTATTTTAAGGTGCTTTGGAAGAAAAAGAATGATATAAATGTTATATATGTTTTATTGTTTTTTTTAAGCAATGTTTTCATTGATTTAGATATAAAAAAAACTTAATTTGATTGCATTTTTTTATTTATTTTTTTTATTTTTAAAGTATTTCGATTTTTAGAACTCGAATAAAAGTCGTAAATCGTTTCTCGCAACCCTAAATCAATATTCGGGCAAAATGTTGAGGGATTTCCTTGTATATCATTTAATGAAATCATTTCCATGTAGAAATTCGCTCATGTAGAAATGTTATCAGCAATTTGCTTAAAACTGGTTCTCAATAATATTTTTATAATAGAAGTGCCACACATATTTGGTAGAGTTCTTGCTTATAACGCTTTAAAGAATATTCAAAAAAGTATGAAGTATAATATCCCAACTCATATTGGCTAAGGCAGTTGGTAATAATCAGCAGTTGATAGGCAATTAATGGGTACAATTTATAAGGGATGGTTAAGGAAAATTTTTTAAGTAGTAATCTACGAATCAATCAAGTTATAATGTTTATTCATAATTTTTATTGAGGAAAATTTGAATTTGATTAGTTAGTGTTGAAACTTGAATTCTTAAAAGAAATACGTGGGCAAGATCGACTGAATGGAACAATAGTTTTTAATCTATTGTGTTCTGATCCAAATTTTTGTCGTGCCGTTTATAAAGATAAAGATAAACCCGTTAACACTAAAAACTGCATCATCGTCGTCATCGTCGTCACCTTACAAACGCTTTATAACGTTGAATATATCGTCGAAATTTTCGAAAATCCTATAAATCTGTCAAAAATTGCTTTATAATTGTTGTGTTGTTGTTGAACAACCGAATTAAAATATCCATCTGTATTCATTTATTATCAAATTTTCTTTTGAAAAATAAACTTTTTTGAAGTTGTTTCGGCTTGCTAATTAAAATTTTCGAAAGCGACAAGTCGTTCAACTATTCGATTATTTATAAGAATTCGTCATATTTTAGCTAAAATAAGACGACTTTTTCTGGATTAATGCAATGAATCTACTGATTCTTCTCGTTTTAACTGCAATACATCAATGTAAGCTTATAAATTTTGTAGCATTTCAAATGAAACATGCTGAGAATTATCTCATTGAAAATCCATGAATTTGCACTTAGGGAATGCGGTGAGTAAATTTTTCGGGGGCGAAATGAATTCCCTTTCAAATTTCGTGCAATTTATTCGATTTCTTTATAAATTTTCAATATTTTCTAATGAGAAAAGAAAATTGGGTCGAAAAATAGGGTATTTTGAAATTAAAAAGAAAGCTTTGCCTATAGGTGAATTTTCTCTGAATCGTTTGGTCGGCAATACTTTACTGCTTCGATGCTCAAATTCTGCCAATTGCCAATTCTGCCAATTTCTTTCCTTCTAATTTTTTTTTTTCGTTAATTTACTATATTGTTTGCGGTTAACACTCTGCAAATAATTAGAATTTCTATGGTGGAAATATTATAGTTCGAAATACAATTTGCTCTAAAATTTTTCTGCCTATATTTTCTGTATTCATTTATTCTATTCAGTGGAATAATCGTTAAGAGTTGAAAGAATTATTTAATAGTAAATATTTTATTTAATAAATATTCTCAGTTATTCATTTAATTTTATTTAATTAATTAATGTTTTAAAAGGTTCGAATAATGTTTTAGCTAAATTATTTATAGAATATTTTTATAAATTTCAAATGAAATTTATTTAATTTATAAATTCAAATTCATTAGTAAATGCAAAAATAATGAATTAAAGGTTTCGGATTGAAAATCCGCAATAATATTGGACGAATTTCTTCCATAATTTTCCTAGGTTTTACCATTCGATTTATTTAAGGGGGGGGGGGGGGGGGGGGGGGGGGGGGGAGGACGAAATAGCTCAGTGGGTTGCTCAGTCCGGGGCGCCGCATATTGAGCTTCTACTTTCCGCAGCAGTAAACCTGTCGAAAAGTGCAGGTATTATTGGGGATTCATCAGTACTTCTAAGGGACTATCTGGCATACATTTGTTCAGTGCGACAAGCAGAGCGAGTTTGACCACTAATGGCGAGGGCTCTTTAAAAAAATTAAATTAATAAATATTAAATAAAAAATCATTCTTTCATTTTTCTAATAACTTTTTTATTATAAATGCGAAGAAATGTAAAAAAATTGACCAGAATTTTCGTACAACTTCCTTTCTTATTATTAATTCCTAAATCCATCTGTTCGTAGGAAAGTGGAAAAGTATTTCAATAATTCTGCGTGCTTTATTTATTTGCCATTTATTTGAAATTTGAGTTAGTTTTGCATGAATCGTTCATCTTAGCTCTCTTATTCATGCAAACACTGATAATCTGCGAATATTCTTCCCTCCACAGTTAACAATTATGTTGTTATCAACGCACTAGTTAATAGTATTTTTCAAATCATTATCTCCAATTATTTCTAATCAGAAACGTCTGTGGATAAATAAGCAGAACGATGGATGTATAGTCGACAAAAATTTATTATCGCTGGCTAATCGCTTATTGTGTAAATTGCGCTAAGTGCGATTTTCCTATATATTTTATGCAATCCCATCGAATCGATGAGAAAGAAAATTACCCATAAAAAATTCACTTCTGAAATACCATTTATTTATTTGTTTGAATTATTTAAAATTTGTTTGACCAAATAATAAGGATAAATAAGATTTTTAGAACGATGAATCTTTTCGGATGATACGAATAATTTAAATAATAATTACAATAAAATGGCAAATTATTTTCTCATATCGCATTTGAGAATGAAATATTTTACAATTAGTATTGATAATATTAATACTAATTTTAATTTAATTAATTAATACCAATAACATAATAATAATAAAAATATATAAAAAAATTGTGCAAAAACGATTGCATATGTCATTTTTAAAAGCGTGGTTATGCGCGGATGGTACTTCCTTGTATGTATTATTTTAATTTACATAAAACAGTGGTGAATATAAAAATTTAGGCAGTGAATTCTAAATTTTTAACAAAATTTTTGTAAAGACTGCAAAAAATGAAATAAAAATTTTTATTTTATTTCAATAATATTTATTTCCGAGATAATTTAATAAGTCAAATGTTTTGCTGTTAAAAATTATGAAAGCACTGTAGTATGGCTTTTGCCTAAATTCTTGGATTTTTTATTGGATTTGAATAATATATTAGAAGTAATAAAATTACCGATACGAAATTCTGTTCGTATGATTAAAATTCTCACTCGCAACTGCATAATTGTGCAGTTTTCATATTATCAGCCCTTTTAACTAGCCTCAGCCCTTTTTTTTCGTAAATATTGTATTGTATTGTTAATATATTTTTATTATTATTAAAAATATTAATGTGCTATTTTATTTCATTAATGCGTAGTATGGCTATTGTCTTCTTCAAGAAATAATAAGTAATATCGAATAGTAGCAAGCAAGATGCAATAAACGCTGCTGAATTGCAGTCATTTTTAAACGAAACTTGCAATTTAAATTATTCAAATGGATTGGTGAAAATCATTAATTTGTTTGAAAATATCTTTCAAAATAGTTTAAATGGTTTTTAAAACTGTCTAATTGTTATACAATTTAGAGCCAATCGAGAGAGATTTTTCTTAGAAAAATTGAATTTAAACTAAATGAAATTAAATAAATTGAATTAAAAGAAAATAAAAAGAAAATAATATTGATAATTTTTTATCATAAAATTTCGTTGTTTTAGGTGTTTTGGAAGTGGTTTTGAAAAGATTCACAGCGAATACATGTCAGCTTAATCCGTGCCTTAACGGTGGCAAATGCATTCCAGGAAAAATCGCTTGCGAATGCAGCCATGGCTGGATGGGGCAATTTTGTCATAGTAAGTCTTAATCAAATTCATTCGAATATTCCGAACCACGAACGATGACGGAAAATATTGCTAAAATAAAATATGGAAGCGGAATGGCCATTTAATTTAATAATAAAGTTTTATGGTTTTTTTTTCAAATCCATGTCGCCTTTCTATTTTAAAACGATAGAAGAATACAACTGATTAGTTTAAGGGAGAACAGGAAAACTCTGCTCTCTGTTATTCAGTTCAATCTATATTTTCTCTTTAAAAATCTAAGCTCATGAAAAAAAAAATTATTTCCTCCTTTTTCAACCATCTTTTCTCAAAATTAAATCTGAAAACCGATAAAAATGTCTATTTTAAAGCGAAAAAAACCTAGAAATAGCTATTTTCATAATTCATTGCTGCAGGGCATTGTCGCAATATTTATAAAAGCTGTGATCGATGGGCCCTCGAAGAAAAGTGCGAGATGGTACGAACGAAAACGAATTTCTTCGACATTAATTGTGCAATAAGTTGCCATAGGTGTACACCGGACGAAAAACACAGTATTCTCTTGCTTATAAATTGACTGACATTGGTATGGCACCTTCAGGTACCTCGAGGGTTAAATCAAAAAGATAAACTTAACTTCAATGAAAATCATGCATTTTTCTATTGTTTAACTCAGTTTTCTTTTTTTAAATGTGAATGAAGCAATTCTCTTTATTTTTGGGGTGTTTTCTCGTTTGGGATTTTTGGAACCGTGAAAATAAATTAAAGCCATAAAAATTATTTGGAAAATTAACTGGCTGGTCAATATATTCTTAAATTATGTAGCAGATGATCTAATTTTTTTTCTATCTAATAATTTCTGGTTTGGCTAATTTCATTGATGTTGGGATGGGAAACCAGAAAACTGGAGAAAATTGAGATACAGGCGGACCTCTAGAATCATCTGGGCTTCACTTCTATTTGTAGACTTATTCCAGTTAAGAGAAAATCTATTCAATCCAATTTACCATTACCTTTACCATTACTGGTTAGACACGCTCCGCTGGCTTGTCGCACTATGCCAGGGAGTTCCTTGGTAAGTGAATTGCCAGTATCACCCGTATTCTTGGACAGGAGTAGAACCATACCACTCGATTATTTCTCTCCACTCCCTCCCTCTTAATATCGAATCCCAATTAGATTATTATAAATGAATATTTAAACAATAAGGAGCCATTTTATCTACATGTTGCCAATGCGTAACAATAAATAAATGTTCGGGAAGAAATGTATTTTAAGCCTTTAATTTCAAAAGATTATTCTGTTAGCAGATTTATATAAAATTGAAGTGTTGAGCGAAATACCAGTTCCACCATCACTCGAACCGCTACTATTCATGGTTGGCCGCTGGTATTCATTAGCAAAGAAACGGCTGCGATACCCCATTGATATGTATTCAGATGGATACAGAGAAATTCTTGATATTACACCGACCGAAGTACCAATGTTTGGGACACCGTCATTAAATTTAACGTAATTTTTTACAATTACACTTTAATGATACAATATGAAGTCATGATTGCGCTTTTACTGAAAATTTATCAACTTAAATGAATCTCAAATGAAAAATCCATTTAAAATGAACTGAAACCATCTAATACCGGTTTTGCACTAAAAAAAAATTGTGCTACAACAAAAAATTACGGATGAATTGCAAAAAATCTCTGCTTTTTATTTCACGCTATCTTATAATTCATGGATGTAATATAAATTTATATTTTAGAAGTATATCGAGTAGCAGTGGCGATTTACGATTGCTACGTGGATTTCTAACTTTGAGGCCGAATTCAGCACCAACAGAGATCGCTATTTTAAGCACATCAAATGAAGGTTATTGAATATTGAAACTATAGATTGCAAAATTGAGCAGTTACTAGCAGTATTTAACTATGTTGATGATTTGCAGATCTTCTGCAAATTAGTTTAGGAGATTATTTAAAAAAGTTAATGAATGAATTTTCTTAATTCTCATGTCACATTCAAGTCGGTATGGGTGATTGGTAATTTTCCTATAATAAATGAATTTTATCAAATCATCTACTGTAGATATTAACAATGGATAAATTCTGGTAAAAACCAGGCTAAACTAGCCATCAATTTTTTGCGCATTGCAAGCATCTCATTCTAGCAATTTAAAATATATTACACTGGAATTTAAATAGAAATCAGCTTAATTGCCGGGAAATTTGACCTTAATTTTTCTGTGGCAATTTAGTGGCAAATGAATGAATTGAGAATTAAGGCTTGATTGGGTTCGGATCCGGCAGGCACACCACGCTTCATGGAGTGGTAGTATCGCTAAACGACGAAAGCAAAGGAAAGAAGAAAATTTTTTTAAGGTTAAGCATATTTAGGTCTTAACATGATCGAATTAGGAACGTTGACAAATCATCTTGTGGCGCTCAATATTACTTACATGCAAGTACATCCGGGAATGAATGCGTCAATTCTTCCACTTGGGGTAATTTGTAATCCTTAAAAGAATCATTTTAATTTTATGCATAAATTAAAAATGATTCATTCAATATGATTTATGATATTTTGATGGAATTTTAATAATAATAAGTAGAATTTTAATAATAAGTAGTGATTTTTATTCAGGAAATTCTTATCATTCCACTGATAAGCTTATCAAAATAAGTCCAGATGCGAAAAAAGTTTAGTGATAAAATTAGGATTATGGGGTTGGATTATTCTAAGGATTTTGCAGTACTATTCGATCGTATATTTCCAGTTGAAAAAAAAAGTGAACTGGCAAATGGAGTTTTCGGCTAATCTGTGCTATTTGCTCTTTTCAGGCAACGCGAATTTTTCGAAGAAATGGCCGATTTCTTGAGATGATTGTTTCAAAATTGTTTTCTCATAATAGAATAACACAATTTAGAAAATTATTTCGAAAAATTAAAAGTTATCCTTTATGAATAAATTGCTAAAAAGAAAATTAGAAGTTTTATCGATATTGTGGAAGCAAATAAAAATTTCACGCTTTACTATCCATTTGGTCGATCGATTTCTCAATCGCCAATTTCATAAAATTATCAAATTTTTTAAATTCATTTGAATTCTATAATAATTCGAGTGAAATCCACCAAATTCATGCATCTTCGAAACAACAAACAATAATAAACATTGCTTAATCTTATATTCATTAAATTAATTTAATAAATGCAATTAAATAAGAGCTGTCTAAGATGATTGAAATTTGTATTTCGAAGCCTTCCTTTATGCATCGTCCAAGTTTTCACCATTTATCTGTTTATATTTGCGCTATTCATATGTTTTGTTGAATGTTGCGATTTCTTACATACCTATTGAATTTCGATTATATTTTAGATTTTATTAGTATTCAATGAGAGTTTGCCATACGAGCACCATAACATTTGATTGTGAAAGCATTTCAATAATAAAAATTTACTGAAAAATTTTCGTCCCATTTGATAAATACTGACAATATGAACCAAAATTCCCACTGATATTTGTAGCGATCACAGTAAGTGGCTGAATAAATCATTCAATATTTTCACGCTGAACTTAAACCATTGATTAAACAACGAATAATTTGTTGTTTTGATGTTATCATTTTATTGTTTATTTTTCAGAAGTGATAAGGCATCACTTAATGATTATAAAAGATATTTGAGAATAAACAAACGGATGGTATTAATTTTTTGTTAAGAGCAAAATGAATGAATTTCAGTAGAATTCTCCAAGTTTCTCAGTTCTAATTTGATTAAATCCAAATCCAACTGAATTATTTTATTTCGATTCTCTCACTGCTAATCATTAAGGAAATAGCAGTGAAAAAAGTAACTTCTATAAAAACTGCTTCTGATGTTACTTCTCATCATAATTAAAACTGTTTTTTTTTATTTGACTTTTCTGATTTGACTTTTGTTCATTTAAAATTAATTAATTAAAAAATGAGTTTCGCATTGCGATGATTCAACGGTTTTTTCCATTATTTTACGGAAAAATTTGAGTTAAACGAATAAAAAAATTTTTATTTTATTTTTATTTTTTCTCTATTGATTCATAAAAATATTCGGAATTTTCTTAAATATATTTTGGTCTGAGTTTTGTGTAATTTGTTTAATTTTCGAATTATTTTTCTATTTTTAAGAAAAATAATCATTTTTCGATGATCGAAGACCGTTTTCAATCACAATTTTTCAACTGACTACAATAAAAACAAACGAATTTCATTTAAAATATTTCATTGAATTTCAAATCACATTATTAATACGAAATAAATTTAAAATAAGTTTTATTTTTAGTTCTTTAATTTTATTTCATAATTTTTCTTTTAATCTTTCTCTTTCTCTTAATTTCTCTTAATTTTTTTAATTTCTCTTTTGACTTCAAAAAAAATTCGAATTTTCAAAAAAATTAAAAAAACTATTGGAAAATTTGAAATTAAATAAATTTTTACCGTATTTTATCTGAATTTTCTTCGATAAAAATATTTCTTCAAATATATTTTTCAATTTGATTAGTTCATTATAAATTGATGGTTCAGAAAAAAATTTCCTCACAAATGTTTTTTATTAAATCTGAATTCAAAATTAAATTTCGATCTTTTTGTGTAGTTAAATTCGTCAAAGGTTTATGCATCGCAGAAAAATGAAATTTTTGATAATCTTTGCATTAGACAATGCCTTTCCCGAATGCATTCCTTGTATCTAAATTTTAATTAAATTTTGAACCGACTATTTACGACTTTACTTTATTAAAAAATACTGATTTTATAAAAAGAATTTGGCGATGCAGAACGGAATTTATTTGAGCGAAAAATAGAATTTCAATCAACTCAACTATCGGGTCAATATTTCGCTTTTTAAAGTCCTTTAAAAATCATTACTTTAGAATTTTATAAAATATCCAAATAAATAAGAATTTATGATTTTTTAAAATATTCCACACTGTAAGTAATTTTTATAGATCTCTGTGCAATAATCTGTGCAAGTAATTCGAACAAACGAAAATATAAGTGGACAAATGGAAATGCTAATTCAATTAAATGATACCTGAAAATGATAAAAATTATTTACTACCTACCATGGAACTTTTTATTTGCCATCCAACTTTTTCATAATTTTATAATAAAAAGAAGTTTTTTTTGACTTTATAGTATAAAAAGGTAATGAAAAAGGTAAAATTAAATATGAGCGCTCAGTAAGTTTTATGAAAATTGCTTTATTTTACAATGAAAAAATCGCGGTGTTGAGTTTTTAAAAATTTATAAAAAGCAAGAAAACGACGATAAAAGAATTTAATGCTGTTTAATATGCGGAAAATTTTCGATATTCGAAATGATTCGTAAATTTTCATTGGAAAAATAATTTTACATGAAAAATTTAGAAATACGCAACCCAATTTCATTTCGCAGTTTGTGATTCATTTATTTATTCTGATTGGCACTGGGAAACTCATTTAGTTTTAGTTTTTTTCCTCCCAAATAACTCTTTGGCGAAAATTTTTCCACTAAAAATTAGCGAACACAGCCAATCAATCAAAATTATATGTAAATAAAGAACCCTTAAGAAAAGAAAGATTTATTTTTTAAATGGTTTCAGTGAATGAAATGAGTTTTTTTTTATTACAAAATTTGTTTGAATTTTTATTTTTAAATTTATTTCATTTTAAATGAAATGTTTTGAATCGCTGAAACTGAAAATTTTCGAGTTTCTATAAAAATTTTTCTTAAGAAACTGTAATGCGATTCTTATTTTTTTTATATATATATAAAGGCAATTTTTCGTTTTCCATTTTTCCAAATTCAATTCATTCGATTCGATTTGTAAACTGTTTAATGAAGCGAAAAATAAAACATTTCGTTATTTTTTTGTTGTCAATTTTTCTTTTTTATATTTGAGAAAATTGTATTTTTTATGAGAAAAATAAATATTTGTTTGATATTTTGGCTGCTACTGAATGGCATTCAAGTGGCCCTTTTAAATGAATAATCTTTGAAAAAAACGAAGAAATGTCAGTTTGGTTAATTATATGACAAACATTATTATTTATTATTTTATAATATTCTATTCCATTTGTGACTAATGTAAAGAAAAATTTGAAATTTGAAAAATTATTCATGTAGGAGAGGTTTTTAAAATATATTTTAATAAAATTATATTTTTCTAAAATATAATTTTATTAAAATTTATTTATTTTATTAAAATTATTTTATAATTTTATTAGTTAAATATAATTTCTAAAAATCAATAAATCGATTCAATATACTTATTTATTATTAATATTATTAATATGTAAACAGTAATAAATCAAATAAAACTGGAACAATTAGCGATACCAAAATTGAGTAGGAAAATAGAGAGAAAGCAAATAAAGGAAGCCGAACGCCGAATGCGATTGTTTGTATTGAAAAGCTATGGTTAGATCGATGCCTATTTCATCCTTTTTAGTATATATGAATTTGAGTTTTATGCGATCGAAGAATTTTCTTAGAAAAATCTTTTCGAAATTCCCATTTTACCATTTATTTTTTTACTAATTTTTTATAATTCTTACCAGACAGGCGAGAAACAATCCGCGTTTCACTTTTAATGCTAAAACCATTGGCAAGTGATTTCAGTCGAAATATTTTAGTGATATTTAGTGATGACAATGCGACAAGTTTTATTTATTTCGTTATTTTAATGCCTAAGAAATTTTTCAAAATTCATTTCTGTAACAACAACCAATTTTAATTTTTTCAAAATTCATTTCTGTAACAACAATAATTTTAATAACAATAATTTTTTGAATGAAACTCCCCAAAAAAATAAGAATTTTCGATTAAAAATCGAAGAAATAATCGCTTCGAATGTAGAATGTGGATTTTTATATCCGTATTTATGCAAATCGTCACTTACTGATAATCACTTATAGTGGTAAAATTGTGGAATTTTGATAAAAATCTTCAAGTTTATTTTCAACACTCCTTCATTTTTTTTCACTTTATCTTCTAATTTATTAATTTGGCAATTTTAAAGCAAGAAAGCGATTATTTAAATTCCCCTGTTAACATATAAAAATTTTTGCTGAAAATGCTAAAGATTTTACCGTAAAAATTACTTTCGAAATGTTTTTTTCTCTTTTTGTGCAAAAATCGTTGTTTTCATGTGATAAAATATTTGTTCTTTGAATTCTTTGATGTTAATTTTCAATAAAAGTAGTAATTATTTGTGTAATAATTTAGTATAATTTGTAGTTATATGCATTTTAGTGGATATTTTTTTCTGTAGTGCTGGTGAATTTCACCTGTATTTCTATTTGCAAATGGTTCTCTGCTGAAAAAATCTCATAGGGCAAAGTAGTTAGTGGAGTTTTTTGAAGAAATTAGCCATTAATTAACTCTAAAATAGGATTTACTCAAGGGATTATGGAAAGGAATTTTCCTATACATCTAAAAACCCATTGAAAATCATTCGTTATTTAGGATTTAGGATTTTTTACTTTCTATTTAAATTATGTAATTATTGAATTCATTATAATACTATAATTGATCGGATATTAAACGATTCGATTCGAGTAAATCGTGAGATTTGCTGATTTTCTTTCAAGGACGATTAAGAGACTGAAAAAAAATATTTTTCTCAATTCGTTTCCTTTTTTTCTACGATTTAAAATGAATGGTTGTTCAAGCTTTTGTTGATTATTATTATTATTATACAATAAATTATTGTCAGATCAGAAAGAAAGGAGGAAAATAAAGAAATGTCAAATCTATTAAAAACTATTTATCGGTGGTTTTTTAAAGAGTCCATAAATTTTTATAAAATAAGTCGTTTTTCTTGTTGTAATGAAATTTTTCGTTTTTTTTCGTACTGCTATAGAGCCGACTTGCTTGCTCATTGTTTGCCCATCTGTATTTTACATTCCTAAAATTTTTTCCTTCAATTATTCACTAATTTTTTTTCGA